GGCATTTGACAAGGTACCCTGGAACAAGCTCTGGGCTGCTTGGCAGGGAAAAACATCCCAGCACCCCTGATCAGTGCAATACAGAGTTTCTACAAAAGCTGCAGAAATAATGTAAGAATGACAGACCAAAAGTCACAAGAATTTAAGAGCACTAGTGGTGTTAGACAAGGTGATATTCTGTCCCCTTACCTCTTCATTCTTATGATGGATGATGTCGTCAAGAACTGTAAAGAGAAGACAAATAAGTACTCTGTAGGAATACTGGAAGATGAGACCAATCTGTACATCAGAGCTGGCATTTGTAGACGATGATGGCTAAATCAGAGGCACACCTTCAGTCCAACTTACTTGTCTGGAAGGAAGAGCTTAAAAAGAGAGGGATGACTGTCAGTATCTCCAAAACTAAAACCATGGTGATCTCAAGAGAGGAGAAGAAACACCAGATCATGATGGGACAGTATGCATTGGAGCAGGTCAACCAGTTCAAATACCTTGGAGTTGTATCAGACCAAACTAGAGGCATTAAGACTGAGCAGGCTACACGAAAAGCAGCTGCTGGGAGACTCTTCCAGGCCATAAACCGAGAGTTTCTTAGCAAAACAGAAATTGGCAAGAGGATGAATACACCGCTCTACCTATGTACCAGTCCTGACCTATGGGTGTGAGTCATGGGCAATGACAACAGCTCACAGAAGCCAGCTTCAGGCCTCAGAAATGAGTTATCTGAGAAAGGTGGTCCTAGTGACAAGAAGGGACAAAGTCCGCAATCAGACAATACATCAAGATCTTGATACCCAGTCCTTACAAACCCGAGTGGATCAGTCACAGTTATGATGGTTTGGACATTTATGCAGAATGGGAGAAAATCGGCCACCATGGCAGGCATGGAAGGCTAAGAACCTGAGAACCAGACCACCAGGGCAACCCAGGGTCTGCTGGGAAGACAACATTCGACAGTCCCTAACTGACAGAGGACTGGAATGGAACAAAGCCAGAAAGAAGACTGCTGATAGAGACGTCTGGCAATCTCTCTGGCAAACCTCTACACCCCAAGGTAGAAGAGGAAGCGACTAAGTAAGTAAGTCAGTTAGTATTTGTATGTGGTTTGTTTATAATCTGTGTTGTTTAAATGTTTTATTTTCCCTGTATATATTTTATTGTGTTAACATCCAATGTTTTTCTTCTCCATACACATTTCTTTAACTTACTTGTACAAATTTGTCATGTAAACATGTACACATGAAAATTCATATAAAATGTCTTACTGTGTTATTTTTACAGATAAACCAGTGAGCTGTAAAATATGTAAATTGATACAGATATTTGTTCTAAATTACTTTAACTATAATGCCATTATCTTTCAAATTTCTCAGAACACCTAAGTATTCTTGCACAGCCATAAAAATACTTTAAAATGTAAAAACAAAACAAAAACCTTAGTTAAAAAAATAAATCAATGACACTATCAGAAATGACTATTTGCTAACTTAGCATACATCTTATAGTTTTAAATAACCTATATAAACATTCATATTAAAAACAAATGCGCTATTCAAAATAATGCATAAACATTCCAAGCATAACTGAGCATGATAAGATTGTAAAATGTGCACACAAACATTATTGTTGATTTTCTGGTGTAGCTGCATGCTTGTTCTGACAAATGAACTTGTTTAAATCAGTTTACAAAATTCAGATCTAATGTTTTGGAAATCAGTTTACGAATTCTCAAATCTATGTTCTGGAAATCGGATTAGAAATTCTCAAATCTTATATTCAGGAAATCAGTGAGCAAGTTCTCAAATCTTTTTATGCTCTGGCAATCCATTTACAAATTCTCAACTTTAATATTCTGGTAATCAGATTACAACTTCTCACATCTTTTTATGCTCTGGCAATCCATTTACAAATTCTCAACTCTAATATTCTAGCAATCAGATTACAACTTCTCAAATCTTTTTATGATCTGGCAATCCATTTACAAATGCTGAAATCTTATGACATGGAAATCAGTTTGAAAATGATAAAATCTAATGTGGTTATCAGTTTCACAATTAAAAAATCTATTATTCTGGTCTGAGTTGGATGTTGAAGACTGGAGAGGATCCTGGATCCTTTCTTGTGCATCCTATTAGGCTAAATCCTGGTCATATCTGGATGTCTCCCCATTTACATCATCTTCGAGTCTCAATTCCCACACAAAGTTCCCCATCACTATTCTGATGCTGTTTTGCTGCTAGGAGTCAAACCAGTAATAGTCTCAGAGGCCTCCCATAACTTTGCGGCGAGTCCCATATCCCGTGACACAGGATTGGCCTCGCCTTCTTGAATCTCACAGTCCACAAAATACTTCCCATTAACATCCTTGACCTCCTCAGAAACTGCCAGGTAAATACTTGTTTGTGCCCCTTCTTCAGGAGACTGAAACAATCAAGTGTACATTTTAATTATTTTTGATTATACGAGCAGCCCATATTTAAACAAAAAGCTGAATAAAAAAAAATACTTAAAATAAGCTTTTATTTAAAATGCATTCAATAATAAATATACTGAAAAGATGCAATAATTTTAACATATAGTTTGATTGAGATTAAAGAGATTATATAATCTCTTGAAAAAATTCATCTATAATTTGACATCATGATTAATAAAAGTGCAGGGTCAAAAGCATGTGCATGCAAAATGTGAGCTCGTTAACTCTTTGAGCCCCAAGGAACGCATTATACGTCCATAGGTTCCTACCTAGAAGCCCAATGAATGCATGATGCGCCGATTTTATCACTCTGTTTACTACCCCCCAGGCCTGTGATGATAAACCCTCTGGGACCCAAAGAGTTAAGTTATAAAGAAATAGTGTAAAAATCAAAGGCAAAGTTCTGACCAGACATACAAAAGTGACCTTAATAAAGGCTTATAACAACTGTGTACAGGGTATTCTGTATGATTGCAGGTGAGTGCCAAAAGATTTCATGAGAGCTCAGAACAGGCTGTATTTCATGGAAACCAAAATAAATTCACTTTCACAAGAGATGGAATGAAAAGACTGAAAGATCCCTCCCCCCACCCCCACCACATAAACACCAAGTCAAAGAGACAACTAATAAGCATTTTGCTGAAATTTATGTTGGGTAGAAAGTTGCATATATCACAACCCACCTGTAAACCACAACACTAAGTGCAAACTACTCTTATAAGGGTGAATGCAGAAGAGGAAGAAAAGACAACACTCATGAAGAAGAAGAAGAATGTGCCAACTACACAGGAGTTCATTAATGACTGAGATAGTGTTGTGTAATGTCACACTTGGTTGAGACACACAGAGTTAAGAACAGCATTTCACATAAAGAATAACTAACAGACGTTGATGAGCAGTCAAACATTAAAATCACCTGAAACTGAGTAGGCACCTTTCTATCTTTTTAAATTTCTTAAGTTATTATCACTTCATAAACAACTACTTTTCAATAACCCTTAACTCATTCACAAAATCTTATCCAAATGTGCAACAGATTTCCTTTGGCCATACTGTAAGTATAATGGATGACACAGCAAATGCTTAAACATATTACACATCCCTAAACCTAGAACAGACTTGTACAAAACAAGCTTGGTGGACTCTGCAGCCAACCTGTGGAACCAACTTAAATGGCCAATCACAAATATCAACAACCACTATAAATATAATTGGAAGCTGTTTGAATATTACCTCATTACAAACTACATGCCCCTTAAAAGACAACAGTATTCTAAGCATTTTTGGAAATAGAGACAGAGGAAGACAGTGCGAGAAGATTCTTAGCTGCCTTTTGTCATGGCAGGGTGTCAACATACGAACTGATACACACAGTTGCGGATCACAGATTGTGGAGAGGCATGATCACCCATGCAAGTCGGCAAGGCACTTGATGATGATCCTAAGCATGTAGTTGATTTTCCCTAGATTCATTGTAGTTAGTATTATTATTGAAAACTGCTGATAGAGAAGTCTGACGATCTCTCTGACAAACCTCTACACCTCAAAGCAGAAGAGGAGCCACTAAGTATTATTATTGTTTTAAAATGTAGGTATACTTAGAGCACATGCCAGTGTTTGTAACTAAGATTTAGATGTGTAGCTAAGACTTAGATGTTGCTGATGATGTTTATCTGCTAAAATTATGTACAAATGAAATAATGTATACACCGAGTGTGGTCAGAAGGGCAAATTGTGAGACAGGACTGTGTGCCCAACTCTTAACCCTGTCAAAATAAAGTTTGTTCATTTGTTCTAAACAACAGTGTTTTACTGTATTATAAGGAGGTATAGGAATCACATCCCTCTCACGACAATGGCAATTAAAGCCAGAAACAAAATTTGTTCTCTCCATAACACAAAGCCTGAGTGAGTAGTATTATAGACAACATGTGGTGCACACACAGCGTGATCCTTCTCTCATAACATGCTTTATTGATAAAATATAACTGATGTTTGAAAGAAGGGTGTTTGGAAGGGCTTAATTGTGCCCAATTTAAGACCCTCTGAAAATAAAGTTTGATCGTTTGTTCATTCTCTGCCTGCTTTGAGGTGATATGGTAAGTAACACAAATGGGCACATCAGCTCAGTATATGGACCAAGGAGAAAATCATGGCACTGCATACTGCCACTGAACTTTCTGCCATGGAAATGCTGTACTGTATTTCAGATGTTTACAGTTAACTGCATACTGTAAACATCTGAAACAGGTTTAACCTTTCCTCCATGCTGAAAACTTTTGGGTCACAGGGTGAGTGATAGACATGATGACAGTAATGCGGCTCCCATACCTAACATCTTATGGCAAATTGAGCTGTTACGCAAAACCCACTCTGCCCCATTTCTTACTTTAATCCCTCTTATCCTATTTTGTTACTGCTACAACTCAGCAGACTCAAAAATTTACTAATAAATGTAAAGATGTCTAAGAATGGAACCTATTAAAGTAACAGGTAATGAGAAAGCTAGATGATAGCCATGACCTACTTTACAGAAGATCCTCATGAAAAACTCGACTGGATAGCGCAAAAGAAAAAACATGTGCCTCAAAAGGTCAGTGGTCACACTTCCTGGATGCAGCACATTGGCCGTCACACCTGAAAATAAATACTGTAGGAATTAAAAATATAAAAAAATAATATAAAACAGAATCATGTAGCAGAAAGATAATATATAAAAGGTGGCATCCAAATTACATAGCACACAAAAAAAAAAAAATTAACAAGATGTGTAGAATACAGACAATACACAATATAATAGGTGAGAAAATTGATAATATATAAAATGGTGACATAAAATAAATACGATGACCGGATGTAGAATAAGGATAATAGGTAATATAATGGCATACCATAAAGGTAACATATAACATGATGGCACAAAAGGAATATCACATGTAATGAGATGTCACAGAAAAGAAATACAAGATAACAGAATGGTTTAGAGTAAAGATACTAGACAGAGGAAGGTGAAGAATAAAGACAATGAGCAGTTTCAAGATAATATATACCATGATGGCATAGAAAAAAGATAACATATAACATGATAGCGAGAAGAAACATTATATGTAATGAGATGTCACAGAAAAGATATACAAGATAAACGTATGGTTCAGAGTAAAGATAACAGATAGAGCATGGAAAAGAATAAAGACAATAAGCATAGATTAAAGATAATTTATAACATGATGTTGTAGAATAAGGATGGTAAACTACTTAAAAAAAAAAAAAAAGCTAATGTCATCACCATCATGTGCCCTGCCAACTAGCGTAGGCGCTCACGCATCTCCACAGATCACGATTCCTGGTTGCCTGGAACAGCTCTCTCAATGATATCCTTCCATGGCTATTTTTTTTTTAGTTACTGAAATTGCTTAAATTGCACACTAGAATACCTCAGGGATCAAACAATTAATTGATAGTTCTTCGACATCTGGGTCATTGATAGTTTTTAAAAGCATAGAAGCTTTCCTGTCAACTAATAAAAACGTGCCACCAGATAAGTAAATTTAAAAAATGTAAAGGGGGAACAGTATGTGGAACAGAGAAGAGATAGTTTGCAACAGGATGGTGCAGAATTGAGAAATAAATAACACAATAAAGTAGAATAAAGACACTGGTAGCCTTTTATTTTGACAGTTTGGGGTGAGTTGGGTGAGGGCCTATGCTCCAGTGGGGATGCAGGAGCAGAAGAAGGGAAAACGAATAACATTACCTGTCCCCTCCAACTGCCTTGCCAGTTCCCGTGTAAACAGAATGATTGCTAGCTTGCTGTCAAAGTAGCGATTGCGATAATGGAATGATTTCTCTCCCTGCAAGTTGTTAAAATCAATGGTGCCAAACTTGTTCACCATAGAGGAAACATTTACAATTCGGCTGGGTGCAGATTTCTTCATCAGATCTGTGGAAGACATGCAAAAGTGGTGACTTTGGAATGATGTGAAGCCGACTGCTGACTATATGTCAGCTTTGAATTTCATGTGGAATGTCTTTTCCTGAATGCTCATAGTGGTTTTATGCTGTGAACTAAAATTAGCAGATGGCTGATTACATCTAATCTACCAACCATTGCCTTTATACATCTAATCTACCAACCGTTGCCTTTATACATCTAATCTACCAACCGTTGCCTTTATACATCTAATCTACCAACCGTTGCTTTTAGACATCTAATCTACCAACCGTTGCCTTTATACATCTAATCTACCAACCGTTGCCTTTATACATCTAATCTACCAACCGTTGCCTTTAGACATCTAATCTACCAACCGTTGCCTTTAGACATCTAATCTACCAACCGTTGCCTTTAGACATCTAATCTACCAACCGCTGCCTTTAGACATCTAATCTACCAACCGTTGCCTTTATACATCTAATCTAAAAACCGTTGCCTTTATACATCTAATCTACCAACCGTTGCCTTTATACATCCTATCTACCAACCGTTGCCTTTATACATCTAATCTACCAACCTACATCTAATCTACCAACCGTTGCCTTTATACATCTAATCTACCAACCGTTGCCTTTATACATCTAATCTACCAACCGTTGCCTTTATACATCTAATCTACCAACCGTTGCCTTTATACATCTAATCTACCAACCGTTGCCTTTATACATCTAATCTACCAACCGTTGCCTTTAGACATCTAATCTACCAACCGTTGCCTTTATACATCTAATCTACCAACCGTTGCCTTTATACATCTAATCTACCAACCGTTGCCTTTATACATCTAATCTACCAACCGTTGCCTTTATACATCTAATCTACCAACCGTTGCCTTTATACATCTAATCTACCAACCGTTGTCTTTATACATCTAATCTACCAACCGTTGCTTTATACATCTAATCTACCAACCGTTGCCTTTATACATCTAATCTACCAACCGTTGCCTTTATACATCTAATCTACAACTGTTGCCTTTATACATCTAATCTACCAACCGTTGCCTTTATACATCTAATCTACCAACCGTTGCCTTTATACATCTAATCTACCAACCGTTGCCTTTATACATCTAATCTACCAACCGTTGCCTTTATACATCTAGTCTACCAACCACTGCCTTTATACATCTAATCTACCAACCATTGCCTTTATACATCTAATCTACCAACCGTTGCCTTTAGACATCTAATCTACCAACCGTTGCCTTTATACATCTAATCTACCAACCGTTGCCTTTATACATCTAATCTACCAACCGTTGCCTTTATACATCTAATCTACCAACCGTTGCCTTTATACATCTAATCTACCAACCGTTGCCTTTAGACATCTAATCTACCAACCGTTGCCTTTATACATCTAATCTACCAACCGTTGCCTTTAAACATCTAATCTACCAACCGTTGCCTTTATACATCTAATCTACCAACCGTTGCCTTTATACATCTAATCTACCAACCGTTGTCTTTATACATCTAATCTACCAACCGTTGCCTTTATACATCTAATCTACCAACCGTTGCCTTTATACATCTAATCTACCAACCGTTGCCTTTATACATCTAATCTACCAACCGTTGCCTTTATACATCTAATCTACCAACCGTTGCCTTTATACATCTAATCTACCAACTGTTGCCTTTATACATCTAATCTACCAACCGTTGCCTTTATACATCTAATCTACCAACCGTTGCCTTTATACATCTAATCTACCAACCGTTGCCTTTATACATCTAATCTACCAACCGTTGCCTTTATACATCTAATCTCCAACCGTTGCCTTTATACATCTAATCTACCAACCGTTGCCTTTATACATCTAATCTACCAACCGTTGCCTTTATACATCTAATCTACCAACCGTTGCCTTTATACATCTAATCTACCAACCGTTGCCTTTATACATCTAATCTACCAACTGTTGCCTTTATACATCTAATCTACCAACCGTTGCCTTTATACATCTAATCTACCAACCGTTGCCTTTATACATCTAATCTACCAACCGTTGCCTTTATACATCTAATCTACCAACCGTTGCCTTTATACATCTAATCTACCAACCGTTGCCTTTATACATCTATCTACCAACCGTTGCCTTTATACATCTAATCTACCAACTGTTGCCTTTATACATCTAATCTACCAACTGTTGCCTTTATACATCTAATCTACCAACCGTTGCCTTTATACATCTAATCTACCAACCGTTGCCTATATACATCTAATCTACCAACCGTTGCCTTTATACATCTAATCTACCAACCGTTGCCTTTATACATCTAATCTACCAACCGTTGCCTACATCTAATCTACCAACCGTTGCCTATATACATCTAATCTACCAACCATTGCCTTAGCATGAATTTATTGTGCTTTTTCTAAGATGCTTAGCTCTTAACCTATCCACAGTCATTTTCTCCAGTATCCCTATTCCCTTTTCACACTATATGCAATATGGTCCATGGCAAACTGCTCACATGAATCCAACCCAATATCTGTCTCTCTAATGCATGCAAGAATTATACGGCTGCGCTGAATACACACACATTCCAATTTACCAAATGCAGCAAATACTGACTCAACGCCAGTGATTGCATACATGTTTACCACCAAACGGAGAAAATACAAGTAAATTCATACTGTGTTTACCACAAAATGGAGAAAAAACAAGCATGCACAGTGAACCAACTGTTCATTCTAAAAACAAACAAAATTATATGTTCTATCATGCAAGTGTGTCCTGTGATTTGTTAATGCCCCTCTCTCACATTATTCCCTGTAGGGTTTCAATGTTTCTGGTACAACAGAGAAAGGCAAATCACTCAGCACATTTAATCATTGTGTAACTTAGCCAACCTCATTGTTATCATTGTAGGCTACCACACAACTAAAACTGTTTGCTAAAGGAGGATGCTTTTAAAGGCAGATCAATGAGTTCAACTGAATATTCTAAGCAAGTGAGCCACAGTCAGCATCAGCAGATATTTTTTACAGGCTACAACATGGTTCAGGAGCTGATCCTGGGGGGGGGGGGGGGGGAAGAACAGCTCCGCTACAATTGATAAGCAGGTTGTAACTGGCGATCAATTCAGAATTTGCTAAAATCAGATGTGTTGAGTCAAAAAAGGACACACAAACTTTATTTTCAAAGAGTCATAAATCAGCCAGCAGGCCCATCTTAGATTTGATTCTTTCAAATAATCATCTTTCGCACTGCAATTAAACTGAATCTATGCTCACAGCTCTGTGTGTGTGTGTGTGTGTGGTAGGTACACATACAGATGTATGCACACATACACACACAGACATGCATATATTAAATGAATATGGAGAAAATCACAAAGGCATGAATGGCAAATGCTTACACTTTTGTTTATGCATACAAACATAACTTCATCTATTCATTTATGCATCCATCTATCCATACACATATATGTATGCACATTCATGCACACAGGCATACATATTTGCATACCCGTTCTTATTACATAAACACATGGATAAATATGCACACCTATACATTTACACATTCTTACCCACAAGCACACATACGTTTATAAATATGCATACCTTCACTTAAACATACACTTAGGAAGAATAGGAAATAAAAGAAAAAAACAAACTGGAAACCAACCCCCTCCCCCCCATTAGAGAGCACCCCCAAAAAAAACAATGAATAGTTTAAAATACAAATTTAATAATGCACCACTTGTTTGTGTCTGTGATTTAAAGGTTATGGCAGTTTAAACAATCCCAACAAACTGAGGTTCAAAGACAATTTTAGGAGATTTAGAAGTGATCACTTTGCACTGATTTAGCCAATAGTATGAGCATTAAAATGTATAGAAAGCAATGGCAAACAACCCAACACAAAACTGTCTAGTAAAATCCCACAACAGTAAATCAATGATTGGTGGTGGTGGTGGTGGGGGGAGAAGGGGGGTCCTGTGACGCTCTGTACAGCCATACTTTGCAACCTGTGGTCTGTAGACCAGTACATGTCTGCAGAAATATATCAAAATATTGGTTCAAAAATGTAGCAGTTATAGTTGAAACCAAATGAAGAAACTGAATGGTTGTTATTGGAATTTTGACTCTCAGGAGAAAATCCACTTTAGCCTAGTATAAAAGATTTTCCAACATACTAGTAGCGGCAGCAGATAATAAGTTAGCTAAGATTGTTAATGTAATAACTCTGGATTGAAATAAAATATTATCTACATTCAGTTTTTTCTTCTCTCTTAGCCATTAGTCAGACTGTTACTGGTGACATTGGAATTGAAACTGTGCCTGCTGCCAAAGATAAGACAAAGCACTTATGGGAGCGTCCAAAGTGCTGTGATGTTCATTCTTAATTCAACATTCTTAGCCATCAACCAACCAGCAAAATATTTCTCATATTCTCCCGGTCCGTGGGAGTGAAAAGGTAGAAGAATGCTGATGTAAAGGACTTGCAACTTTAAATTTACCGCCCCCTCCCCATTGCTATAACATCCAAACAAACTGCTAGTGACGTACACACCAAATATCAACAGTATTTTCCTATCATTTCTTTGTTATTTGTATTAGGTACACATTTTAACCTTAGACTAAGACAGCAAAGTCAACACAAAGGAACAGAGTTGCTACAAATCGCCAGTGACCTGTATGTCGGTGAATGAGAAATGATGATCTAAAAAAAAAAATGGTATTTGTCCCATTAGAAGCAAGAGAGAAAGAGAAATTATGGCATTAGTAAAGTGGCAGCGGTCACAAAAAAGAAAGCAGAGAATAAATAACAAGATGGCAAGAATCCGAAAAAGAAAATGTGTGAAATAATGACTGAAAATGTGTGAAATAATGACTTTCACAAAAAGAAAGTGAGAAATAATTACTTAAAAATACAACTGGCGCTACCAAAGAGAAACATTTTTTTGTAAAGAATTATAAAGAATGTCAAAAAAGAGAAAAGTGATTGTGATCATAAAAAAATGATGATAAATGATGCAAACAGAAAAGTGATTACTATTAGTGATTACTAATAAATCATTCTTATTAAACATCAGAAAATGAGTACTGAAATGTTACATCGGACCTGTTCTGTTTTAAGGCAGTGAATCTTGGATTGTGAGCAAACACATTAAGAAGAGTTTAGGCAACTGAGATGTGGTTTTTGAGAAGAATGTTGCAAATACCTTGGACTGCCAGAATAACTAACAATGATTGCCTGGAAATGGCTAAGGAAAGTAGAACATTATATACAACAATGAGAAGGAGACAAAGTGTAAAGGTCATGTGATGAGAAAAGGAGCACTGGAAAAATATCATGATGACTGGAAAGATCACTGGTAGAAGAGGCAGAGGCAGACCAAGAGAAACGATGGTGGATGGCTTGGACAGTGGCGTGGAGGAATATCATCAGTGGAATTGATCCAGAACACCAAATACTGAGATCTGTGGAGATGCATGAACACCTACGCCAGTTGACAGGGCACTAGATTATGATGATGATATAAAGGATATTAAGTGATGAAATTTAAAAAAGTGATTGCTCTCACAAACAAAAAAGAAGGTGAGAAATGACAAAAAAATGTATCTTGTATCACAAAAGAGTAAGAAATGATGTGACAAAACAGAAAGACAGAGCTTATACTTTGTCTAACTCTTTCAGCAGCAGTAAAAAAAAAAAGCAATTTAGCATGCTCTGGCCAAATGTAAAGAAAGTTAAGAAACACATCACATGTTGGCTGAGATTCACGTGGAAAAGCTAATCACATATCATGTTTTGGGAAAGGGGGGGGGGGGGGGACTGAAAACATTAATACATGTAGAGAAAAAAAAAGAATAAATAGTTTTATCATCTGACAGTGTCCTTAAATATATCCATAAATATTTATGTATATTCTTTCAATTCGCTCTTTTACACATAAGGCAGTCACAAGCAACCTCCTGTGCTGCCGACCTGCTGCTTTTTCTGCCCACGGTTTTTTTTTTTTTTACTATATCGGTTTACACTCCCATTTCTCTTGCCACTGTCCTTTTCTAGGTTTCCTTAGATTCTCCATGTCCCATTTTTCATATGCTGTCCACTGGAGAGCTGCAACTTTTTCATAAGTGAAAAAACCTCTTCTGTAATATATCTAGTGATACCATCTAGCGCGTCCTTTGCAGAACATCCCTCTCATCACAAAAAAAGTCACTCCGTCTTCTGCTAAACTTTCCTGCTCAAGGTGTTCTTGATATCTTGTGTCCACTATTATTATGCTGGTCGACCCCTGCCTAATCATTCCTACTCTGCATTACTATTCTTTTCAAGCCATTATATCCATAAATATTTATCTATATCCTCTTCACATCACTGTTTACACATAAGACATTCACAAGCAACCGCCACTATTGCCGACCTGCTGCTTCTCTGCATATGATTTCCTTATCAGTTTACACCCCATTTCCCTTTCCACTGTCCTTCTCCAGGTTTCTAGTCACAGCTAGACTAATTATTAAACAAACAATGCTTTCTGTGAAGGACAGATATAAACCAATGATAAAAAACCATGACATTTACCTAGGAGTAAATTTGTGAGAAGAAATGGTCCGAAATAGTTGGCAGCAAACAGGGTCTCCAGGCCTTCATCTGTAACTTCCTTTGGTTTACCAGCAGCTGAAGAAAAAAAAAAAGGTACACCCTGGTTTAACTGTGAGGAAGATCAGAAAAAGCCAACTATGGTTTACCCGTGGATAAGGATAAGAAAAGTAAACTATATTTTACTTGCAGATAAAGATAATGAAAGTAAACTATGGTCTGCCTCAGATAAAGATAACGAAAGTAAACTATGGTCTCTCTGTAGATAAAGATAAGCAAAATAAACTATAGTTTGCCTGATGGTTATAATAAAAGTAAACCAGTGGTTTACCCACAGACAAAGAAAAAAAAAACCAGTGGTTTACCCATAGACAAAGAAAAAAAGCAAACCACGGTTTACCTGCAGCTGAAGTTAAGATTCCACTTCATTATTGGCAGCTAATTTAGCAGACCATTTGTGTTGTTGGGGACAATGGTGTAAGTGCCCCACCATTCAAAATGTCATAACATTATCTAACAAAACCACACAGCAACCAATCAAGCTGAGGCTGGTTGGTGATATTCTGAGGACAAGCAAATAAGTAAAAGGACTGATTTCTGACTGCCTTTTGCAGCTAAGATTTTGTTACAAGACAGGCAGCTTGCTAAATCTCCTTTTAACATTGACTGTAACAGGATGATAAAAATTTTGTCCTCTTCTTTAAACCCAAACACAGAGGATGGAGAAAAAGAATACATGAAACAAAAACAAAGAAAATATGTCACTTACATACAATACCAGCATTGTTGACCAGGATATCAAGTCGTGATTCTTTCTCCAGAATCTCTTTGGCAAAAGCTCTCACTGAGCGCAGATAGCATAAATCAACTATGCCTACTGAAACATTTGTATTTCCAGTTTGAGCAATGATCTCCTTTCTGGCTGCTTCAGCTTTCTTCTCGTCCCTGCATGCAAGAATCACTCGTGCATTTCTCTTGGCAAAGTCAAGAGCAGTCTGGTAGCCAATGCCTGCAAGTAAGCATAAGCGTATAGAAGAATATGTATGTGCATGTGAGCACCTGGGTGGGTATATGTGTACAAATATATATTTGTATCTGTGTGTGTGTGTGTGTGTGTGTGTGTGTCTGTGTGTGTGTGTTATATGTAAATAAAACCACAATTTTTGCTTGTAAGTTCAGTGGCTCGGTGCTCGCCTGTCTGCCCAAATGTCTTGGTTTTAAATCTCCACCACCCAGTCCCTCCATTTTGTAGAACAAAGAACAGACACCCCTATAAGCCTGTTGTAGGAGGTAGCTAATTAGAGGTGTTTTTTTTTAACAGTCAGAGAACATCTGCCTGAGAGGCAAAAAACCAACAGTCTGCATCTAAATAAGCCAGATACATAAAATAGATTTGCATAGAAAACTCAAATTCTAGAACAAGATCAAGTCCATAAGCGGAACCTTTTGCTGGAGTTTACAGGTGGTGAATGCTAAGAAAAAAAAGAGGTGATGGTAAGGGTAGCTGCTGCAGTACAGTGGCCAGATGCTGACCTTAAAGTCTTGGGGGCTGAATCCGCACTTTGGTAGATTTTTCAACAAGTAACTCAGCTTCCAGGTCAACAGCCTAACATGAGTACCAGGAAATATCATGCAAAGTACAGACAGCCATTGTGAATTGGAACAGATCAGCCATCAAGAGCTGACTGGTCTAGCATCACATGTGTGATACATAACTGGAGCATAAAGGTTCCTTTACTTGTCTTTTATCGTGATAAACGTTAATTATTCTTGAAAAACTTGAAACTGGAGTGCCCATTATCTAGGGCAGGAGTTCTCAAACTTTTTCCTCATCGCAGCACCTTCTTAGGCAAGAAAATTTTCGCGGCACACCTACCCTTAAAGTGGTTTGAATACTTAGGAAAAGAAGAAAAAAAAGGGTACATTCAATGTTCAGTTGTCTTTAATGCGATCAATGAAACTGTTTGGATGCATTTTTGATTGTTTCCTTTATGTATCTGGGAAGTTTAGTTAGTTTTACTCTCAGGTCATCTGACTCAGAGAATTTGCTTTTGTATCTGTTTTCTATGTAAGCGTACGTTGAGAATGCACTGCAGCCTTGCCAAAAGCATGTCTCCTGAATACACCTGCATCCAGAACTCTTCTTGGCTTCCCTCACAGTATATTTGTTCTAAACTGCTGTCTTCGCTGATCTCATGCAGATTTGTAAAAATGATTGATTACAGCCGCGGCACCCCTGGCATATGCTCCCCGCACTCCTGGGTGCCACGGCACCCAGTTTGAGAATCGCTGATTTAAAGGATATTATTGCTGAGGAGCAGATAGTCAAACAGTTAAGAAAACTGAATGCTTACGCAGGAGATCTAGTTGAATCCTTGGTAAGGTCACAGATTTTTCCTGTTGGGTTGAAAATTAAAATCCTAATGTGTAAAGTTTGTGGCGACTGCACTAGACAGGTGAAGAACCAACAAAACACATAGCAAGATATGCAAAACAGACATACATATACAACTTAAGTTCTGGAATAAAACTAAAGTCCAGAAGTGGATGAACAAGCAGGTCTTTCTGCTATAGTTTATAGGCGGCAAACACTATGAAGAAGAAGAAGAAGAAGAAGAAGAAGAAGAAGAAGAAACTTGACCATAACTTGCATTACTGTAGGTGTTTTATTAACAATTTATTAAAAGATATCTCAATAAATGATCAGTTCTGACAGCTTCATTACAAAATACTGTAAATATTTTCATAATACCACTAATGTCCCAGGTCGACCCAGCCTTGAGTCCTGCGAAGTAGAGGTGGCCAGCGTGATGCTGACCACATTACCCATCTCGTGCCGATTGGTCTATAAAAAATATATGTCTAGCTCTATATGCCCTATACGCCTAAAGGCGTGGAAAAGGGTCCTTTACTTTACTATTATGCAGGAACCGTGGTTAGATAACAGCCAGACGTTGGCCTGCTGGCTTAAAGGTCTAATTTTCAAATCCACAATGAGTTGAAAGAAAAAAAGATCTTGGCTCCAATAGTGATCCAGCCTAAAATGGGAATCACATAAAGTCCTAGGAAGTAAAGGTGACCATTGTAATGCTGACCACATCACCCGTCTAGAACCAAATGGTCAATAAAAGTATGATTCTATCATCATATACCAGCTGTGCCAATGGCCTGAATCAGGACTCCTATTTACTTTACTTACTATAACAGGACAAACTTTGTAATTAATAAAACAGTGTTAACGTGCACCTTTACTCATGCACATGCAGGCATACAGAAACACACAGACACAGTGAAACAATTAACAAAGATCAGAAAATGATGAATCTCTTACCACAGTTTGCCCCTGTAACTATGGCTGTTTTTCCAGTGAGATCGGCTGTGCTATCACACCTTCCAACTGATGATCGCAAGTAGATATAACAGGCTATTAATATCACAACCAAAACTATGAACACAGCCAACCATTGTCCAGGATCCCAGAATTCCATTTATAGGCTGGCGAAAAAAATTTATAAAAAAAAAAATTAGAAATGAGGAATGCATACTTTATAAGACTGATAATAATGTGCATAACCTTCTCATTGCCCACATCAGAAAGACAATCTATATTCTTGTGTCATGTGATGAGAAGTAGACAATGTGAGTACATTGTGATAGTCAGAAAGCTGGAGGGGAGGAGAGGTAGAGGGAGACAGAAAGCATCCCCAACAAGCATGTCATAAGAGTAGACTAAATGGAAGCTTTCTTCAAAGTCGGAGTACATCTGCCTGAGAGGCAAAGAAACCAGCATTCTTCATGCAAAGAGTCAGACCTGTGAAACGGATGTACACACAATTCTCAGTTTCTGGAACAGGACTAGAGTCCAGAAGTGGACGAACAACCAGAATTTTCCGCCAGAGTTTATAGCCGCTAAACGCGAAGAAGAAGAAGATTTAGCTGCATGCAATTTTACAGCAGACCCTTTCTCATTTATTTTAACGACGGTGTGGAATCATAATCATTCATAAAGAATAGCAAACAACTGAAATAAAATCACCCAAAAAAAAAAACACCACAAAACAAATGCATCATCCTGGGGTTGGTTCTGCAACGTCCTTAGAAATGATATGCAACAATTCCTCTCTCATGTGTATTTGATTGTAAGCATTTTCTTGGTTATGTCTAGGTCTTGTAAAAAACATGCCCTAAGTTTTTTTTGGGGTGTTTTTGTTGTTGTTCTGACAGTTCTCTTGACCACATGAAAACATAACCCAAGCCTATCTGCTTGCAATATAGTGGCATAATGGTTAGTGCATTTACTTGCAAAGATAATGGTCTATGTTCAATCATTTGCAGAGGTAGAGTTATTTCTCAAACCCTGTCTAAAAAAATGGTGGGGGGGGGGGGGGGGGGGGGTGGTGGGGGGAATAAAGATGGAGAAAGGAACTGGCCATATCACTTTACACTATGGCCCAGAGCAGTGTTCTTCAAATGGTCATCCACAGACCACCAGAGCAGAGATAGTTGGAACCCCCCTCTCCCCATTCACCCCAAAGAGGGGGGGGGGGGGGGGGGCAGGAAGTGAAAAAAAAGAAGAGAAGAAATCATTCTGTTAAGTCTAATATTAGGAAGAATATTAACCTGAGGTTAGACAAACACCAAGTGATAAAAGGAGAGCATCCTACATACCTTTGAGCCACATTTGACCGGCAGCTCAGCCTCAAGAGCCATATTGAACACGTAAGGAATAAGGCATTGAGGCGGTTACAGTCATTAAAGAGACTTGCAGGTACATCATGGGGATCAGACAAGGAAACTCTGAGGGGCTTATATCTTGGATATGTTCGCTCTGTGATAGAGTACAACAACTCACTGCTTACAACCTGCTCCAAAATCTAACCTAGAGACTCTTGACAGAGTGCAAAATAATGCCCTCTGATTAATCTGCGGAGCTATGCGGTCTACACCAACTGTTGCATGTTAAATCCATACAAATGTGGAACCCCTCGGGTTGCGGAGAGAAAAAGCCACTTTAGAAATTTATGAAAGATGCGTTAGAAAAAATCGTAACCATCCTAATAGACACCTTGTAGAAAACTGAGAATACAAACAAAGAATAAAGCACAAATCCGTTTTACACTGTGTTCATGAAATTCAGGACAGATACCACCTCCCAGAAAGACGTCAAGGCATTCAGAATGTTGCAAGAAACCTACCACCACATGCTTGCTTTAAAGCTCCAGAAGTCCGAATTAAATTGGTAGGCGAGGAAACCAAACAGTCCGAACCAATCGCCCTTATGAACTCATCACTAAAGACTGTTGATTCTTACCCCCAAGAATGGATACATGTTTATACTGATGGAACTGCATTTAAAGCTACCATTAAAGCAGGTTACGGAATCTACACAGGTTATCCCGATGGATCTGTTGAAGAGATTTTTGATGCATGCGGGGAATTCTGTTCAAATTATGAAGCCGAAATAATTGCACTGGAAACAGCAGTATACCACCTAAAGACTGTAATGGATGTTTACCCTTCAAAGGCCCAAAATATTGTCATCTTCACAGATTCAATGTCTGCCATTCAAGCTCTGGAGGGCAGTGAAGGCTGCAGAACTGACATAGCAAAGATAATCCTGGATGCTGATCAGCTTATTACCTCATACAACATCAGAATAGTGATGCAGTGGATTCCAGGCCACTCCGGCACACCAGATAATGACAGAGCTGACAGATTGGCAAAGAAAGGAGCAAAACAAGAACAACCACCTACAGCGACAACCCTAAAGACAGCAAAAACACATATAAGAGCTATAAACAAAGAGACTTGGTTCTACAGATGGGCCATGGGAGACACTGGAAGAGGTTTATAGACATATGGCTGGCCCTGATCCTAATGACAGCATTAACCATCTAACAAGAAGGGACCAGGCCACCATCTTCAGACTTAGAACATATACAACATACTCCACTCAGTGGACATCTAAACAGAATACAGCCACAACACTCCCCAGAGTGCCAGATATGTAACTGGCCCTACAAAACTGTTGAACACCATCTCTTTGAGAGCCCAAAACTCAGCGAGACTAGAAGAATGCTACTCCCTCTGAGACTAGACAAGTTGAACACCTTGTACAGAGGAAAAGAACAGCTTGTGAAAACATGCAATTTCCACTACATGGCACTGGGCCAAAGGGCGAAAACTCATGGGCCACTGGATCGATAACAACAACAACAAGTCTAATATCAGAGGGTCTTGCTGTAAATTATGCTGTATCATCTAGTATTAGATTCTAGGTTGTTTTGTTTCTACTTCTTGGTTCAATTTTTTTCAGAGCTGAAACATGGAGAAAATCTAGAACAATTACTACTAAACTAAAAACATTCATTAACTGGCATCTGCACAGAACAGAAGAGAATTATATGGTATGACAGAATCAATAATATAAAGCTCTGAAAAAGAACTAAATAAATACCAGCGAATCAATAGGGGAGGAAAAGACAGTAGTTTTAAATGGGGCACACACTGAGAAAACCCTTTACAGCACAAAGGAAATTTGTGGACGTCAATAGAAATTGAATCTTGCACCAAACTTCGAATACTAAACTGTAACACTAAATCAGTACAGCTGTATGGTATGAATAAAAACATGGAATACTTTAACAAAAACAAAACAAAAAAACCCCACAAAGATTCACCAATGACTTACAAACATTGAAAAAAGCTTGCCACTCAAAAATTACAATGCTAAACTTTCAAAATATATGTTAAAAGGAATGCAAATTGTATGCCCTTTTTTCTTTAAAATTTTCTTCAGCACTCTATGAGAGACTAGGGCTATCTTACGAATAACGGTCCCAAATTATCGAGGCGGAAAATATACCCTAATAGAGCCTCAGTCACGTGTTAATTGCGAACTTCCGGCAACTTAAATTGCACACTGCCGGTGACTTCCGCCACCACCGACTGGGGCTAAACTAGATGGCTGGGACTCACGAGCAGCAGCTTGCCACTCAAAAATTACAATGCTAAACTTTCAAAATATATGTTAAAAGGAATGCAAATTGTATGCCCTTTTTTCTTTAAAATTTTCTTCAGCACTCTATGAGAGACTAGGGCTATCTTACGAATAACGGTCCCAAATTATCGAGGCGGAAAATATACCCTAATAGAGCCTCAGTCACGTGTTAATTGCGAACTTCCGGCAACTTAAATTGCACACTGCCGGTGACTTCCGCCACCACCGACTGGGGCTAAACTAGATGGCTGGGACTCACGAGCAGCAGCTACCGCATTTCCTGCAGCTTCCTTTATTTTATTCGCTCGTGAGTTGCCGCTCACGTGGCATGGGGGATACTCTAGGCAATGGCGGTATATTCCCCGGAAGATCGCAATTCAGAGGTGGCGGTAGTCCCCGGAAGTGCGCAATTGACACGTGACCGAGGCTCTGTTAGGCTATATTTTCCGCCTCGATAATTTGGGACCGTTATTCAGAAGATAGCCAAGACTAGAGCCTCTGAATGATAAACTAACCCATAAATGTATCATAAATTTTGAATTTAATAGGAAACTAAATAAACTTTAAAGTGTTATTCTCAGTATGGATATTCACTGCTTTTGTGGCTGCAAAACCATAGCATGAAAAGGCTTGTTTTGGGGTAAAATTTTGTCTTTGTAAACATAACACTGAATTATTTTTTAATACATATCATCAAATTCAAAATGTAGATTCCTCTTTAGAAAAAAATATATACTTTTGTAGGGATAAGAAATATATTACATTTTCAATTTCCTTTCTTACTTCACCACCCCCTCTGCTATTTTTGCAAAGGGAGATTATGATTAAAGTAAGCTAAGGCTGTCAAAATTCATCATGAATGGGCCTGAAACTGAAAGAAAGAGGTAAGTTACAAGTTGATGTATTAAATATTACAGTACTGTGCTACAAGAAAAGCTTTTCCGTATGCCGCAATATTTAACATAACAAGCTGCAATAAAAAGCTGTCCACTGTTAGATCTATGTTTTATCGGTCATTTTTTAAAAAAAAAAAAAAAAATGGATAAGAAACAGAGGGCATTTGTAATTATGTTATCTGGAAAAATGCAGGGTCAAACTTAGCGCTTAAGTTTTTGAAGTGTTTCTATTTCTATTGTTCAGTACATCCTCTGCTACTACTGTTATCCTGTCCTATGGCTGTAAGTCAATATTGTCTCAATTATTATAACATACGTGACTTCGAACCTAGCAACTTCACAGCTTGAAGAAAACTGATAGCAGCCCTTTTCTTTAACGTCTGCAGTTACCGAAGCAGAGTAGGCTCCCCTATCAGTGCAGAAATAGATAGAAATTGTCACTGGCAGGGCTGCACTGGGATTTTTTATCAAAACCCAAGCTAAGCTGACCAAAAACCCAAGCAATACATAAACAAAAAACAAAATAAAAAACCCAAGAATAATTTAAAAAAAAAATTACAAATTTATGCTTACGAAACGAAACATTTTTACA